AAAAAAAAAAAAAACCAAAATAATAAAAAAGCGTCTAGTTATGTTTTTGTGATAACAGCGTGAAGATGACTAGACCTACTTACGTGTGTGTGTGCTTGTTCCAGTTTCAGACGGGGAGACCACCAGCCCGGAGACGGCCCTGACCATCCACCTGCTTCCCGCCGACCCGGCCCTGCCAAGGGTCCAGGTCACGGCTCCGCCGCTGCGGGTCAGCCCTGGCGGCAGCGCGCCTGTAGGTAAGCCCGGGAGCCGGAAGGCAGCACGCTGTGGAAACCGGGCCTTATTTCAGCAGCAGTCCCTCTGCAAACCTCCTTTATTTTTATTTGTTTTTTTATTTAATATTTATTATACATTTTTCTTGTTCTTTTTTTTTTTATTATTTTACTCTTTACGGGGAAGAGATTTGCTAGATCTGCAAACCTCTAGACCAGGGGTCCTCAGACTGCGGCCCGGGGGCCACACGCGGGTGTTTTTGCCCGTTTGCTTTTTTTAACTTCAAACTAAGATACGTGCAGTGTGCACAGGAATTTGTTCATCATTTTTTTTTTTTTTTGAGACAGAGTCTCGCTCTGTTGCCCAGGCTAGAGTGAGTGCCGTGGCGTCAGCCTCGCTCACAGCAACCTCCAACTCCTGGGCTCAAGCGATCCTCCTGCCTCAGCCTCCTCCCGAGTAGCTGGGACTACAGGCATGCGCCACCACGCCCGGCTCATTTTTTCTATATATATTTTTAGTTCTCTAGCTAATTTCTTTCTATTTTTTTAGTAGAGACGGGGGTCTCCCTCTTGCTCAGGCTGGTTTCGAACTCCTGACCTCGAGCAATCCATCCACCTCGACCTCCCAGAGTGCTGGGATGACAGGCGAGAGCCACCGCGCCCGGCTTTATTTTACTCTTTATGGGGAAGAGATTTGCTAGATCTGCAAACCTCTAGACCAGGGGTCCTCAGACTGCGGCCCGGGGGCCACACGCGGGTGTTTTTGCCCGTTTGCTTTTTTTAACTTCAAACTAAGATACGTGCAGTGTGCACAGGAATTTGTTCATCATTTTTTTTTTTTTTTGAGACAGAGTCTCGCTCTGTTGCCCAGGCTAGAGTGAGTGCCGTGGCGTCAGCCTCGCTCACAGCAACCTCCAACTCCTGGGCTCAAGCGATCCTCCTGCCTCAGCCTCCTCCCAAGTAGCTGGGACTACAGGCAGGCGCCACCACGCCCGGCTCATTTTTTGTATATGTATTTTTAGTTGCCCAGCTAATTTCTTTCTAGTTGTAGTAGAGACGGGGTCTCGCTCTTGCTCAGGCTGGTCTCGAACTCCTGACCTCGAGCAATCCATCCACCTCGACCTCCCAGAGTGCTGGGATGACAGGCGAGAGCCACCGCGCCCGGCTTTATTTTACTCTTTATGGGGAAGAGATTTGCTAGATCTGCAAATCTCCAGACCAGGCGTCCTCAAACTGCGGCCCTCGGGCCACACTGGGGTGTTTTTGCCCGTTTGGTTTCTTTTAACTTCAAACTAAGATCTGTGCAGTGTGCATAGGAATTTGTTCATCGTTTTTTTTTTTCTTTAAACTAGAGTCCAGCCCTCCGACAGTCTGAGGGACAGTGAACTGGCCCCCTGTTTTAAAAGTTTGAGGACCAATAGAAAGAAATTAATTGGCCAACTAATATATATAGACAAAATTAGCCAGGCATGGTGGCGCATGCCTGTAGTCCCAGCTACTCTGGAGGCTGAGGCAGGAGGATCGCTTGAGCCCAGAAGTTGGAGGTTGCTGTGAGCGAGGCTGACGCCACGGCACTCATTCTAGCCTGGGCAACACAGTGAGACTCTGTCTCGAAAAAAAAAAAAAAGAAGTTAGGAAGAGCTGGAGTTGACCCAGTTATTTTGCACACGGTTTTATTTGCTTATCGGCATACTTACTCTTTAGGGTTTATTCTTTGCCAAGAACATTTCCTTAGCAAGCAGGAAGTGTTGTGATTTTTGCCGGGTGTGCACTGCAGATCCTTACTCGGTTTCTACGTGTGGGTTTTGGCCTGAAATTAATTAACGGCCATCAAAACAAGCCGTGTGTACCAAGCCGCCCGTCACCCCTGCCCGATGCCTTCCCACGCCCGGCGAGGCCGGTGCGGCCGTCGTTAAACTTGGCTCCCCTGCAGATTCAGAAGAATAAGACGGGCAGAAACAACGAACGGGGAAAACAGTGTGAGGGAGGATTTTCTAGAAGAAAATCCACCCCGGCTGGTCTGGACTGAGCTTCCTCTGTGCGTGCCGTCATTCGGACGGAAGGAAATAGGAGTACTGAGCTCAGAACCCGTAAGCGAACTTGTGGAACAATCTGCTTGGAATTTGGATATTGACTGTACTGTTGGTTTTCACTCTTCTGTGCTTGATTGGAATGAATCGGCACTTTCTTTTTTTTTTTTTTTTTTTTTTTGAGACACCTGCACTCTGGTTGCCCGGGCTAGAGTGAGTGCCGTGGCATCAGCCTTGCTCACAGCAACCTCCATCTCCTGGGCTCAAGCGATCCTCCTGCCTCAGCCTCCCGAGTAGCTGGGACTACAGGCATGTGCCACCATGCCCGGCTAATTTTTTTTTTGTATATATATAATATATAGTATAAGTAAGTATCTATATATAGTATAATATTAGCTTGTCCAATTAATTTCTTTCTGTGTATAGTAGAGACGGGGTCTCGAAGTTGCTCAGGCTGGTTTTAAACTCCTGACCTTAAGCAATCCACCCGCACTCGACTCCAGAGTGCTGGGAATGACAGGCGTGAGCCACGCGCCGGCCTTTCTTATATCATTTTTAGCTGTCCCAATTATTTCTTTCCATTTTTACGTAGAGAGCAAGGCTCCGCTGTCCTCAGGCTTGGTCTGCTCAACTCGCTGACCGCTCGAGCGATCCTCTCGCCTCGGCCTCCCAGAGTGCTGGGACGACAGGCGTGAGCCGCCGCGCCCGGCCCGTCAGCACTTTCTGATCACCCACAACGTGGCTTCCAGCCTGGCCCGTGGCCCCCGTGCGTGCTGAGTGTCCTGCAGTGTTTAACGTGCCCGTTTTCTCTGTCCACACGCTTTGTCTTTTTTGCCCCAGGACTGGAGCTGGTGGGAAGAGACGGGGAGACAGCGCCGGAAGAACTCGTCTTTGAGCTCCAGAGACCTCCCCAGCACGGCGTGGTCCTGAGGTCCACGGCGGGGCCCCTCGCGCCCCTGGCCGCAGGTAGCTGCTCACTCTCGTCCCCACACTGCGCCGGCAGGGTGGGTTTGCTATGCAGGCGGTCGCGTCCTGTGTCGCAGACTAGGAAGAAAGGGTCTTTGTGGGACCAGCTTTTTTTTTTTCTTTTGAGACAGAGTTCACTCTGTTGCCCGGTCAGAGTGAGTGCCGTGGCGTGCAGCCTCGCTCTCGGATCGTCAACCTCAACTCTGGGCTCAGCGATCCTCCTGGCTCAGGCCTCCTTCACCGAGTAGGCTGGGACTAGCAGGCATGGCGCCACCAACGCCCCGGTTGATTTTTTTTATATATAATCGTGTTGGGACCGCCGCTTTGAGGATTATTCTTCGCTCCTTGTGCGTAGCTCTTTGTCCTTTGAGACCTTTGTCAGACCGCTCACCACCCCCCACGCGGCCCCCATCTGGCCCACGCTCAAAAACTATGAAGCACCTTGGGCGGGCAGGTCCCAGGGCGTGGGCAATATACATACACGTAAGCACTCTGTACCCCCGTCATATGCTGAAATTTAAAAAGAAACGGAAAAAAAAAATTTTAAAACTATGACGGCAGGGGGCGGCGGTGGCTCCACCCTGTCCTCCCGGCACTCTGGGGGCTGAGCGGAGGATCGCTCGACAGGTCACAGATTCACAGACCCAGCCTGAGCAACGAGCGAGACCTTGTCTCTACTAAGAAGAAAACAGAAGAAATTAGCTGAAAAACTAAAATATAAGAGAAAAATTAGCCAGGCGTGGTGGCGTGTGGCCTGTAGTCCCCAGTCTATACTCGGGAGGAGCTGAGGCAGGAGATCGCTGATCCAGGAGTTGGAGTTGTTGTGAG